CCACCAGTCATACAAAGAAACCTGCTAGAGAATTCAGGATGGTGTGTATCTCTTGCTGTTTGAAGAATTTATTTCACCTTCTGCTGGCCCAAAATCAAAAAATGAACCAATGAAACATTTTTTTGACAAACATCAACCCTTTGTTTCAATCAGGGGACTAAATATTTACTGCCACGAGCTGGAACATCTTGTTCATTAGTTTCTCGTGGTCAGTACAGTTATAGTCAAAAAGCAAATTGCATTTTGATGATTTTATTACGTAAACGAATAGTAGCGTGCGCCCAGCATAAGATAAATCTTGTGACTCAGAGTGAAGGTCTTTGGTTCGGGCTTCAGTGAGTTTTTGTGTTCTCTATAGGGTGACTCAGTACACCCCCTACCAGCCTGAGGTCTCTCAGGGGCGCCTGGAGAGCTTGCTCAATTATCAGACCATGGTCTGTGATATCACGGGAATGGCAGTAGCCAATGCGTCACTGCTGGATGAAGGCACTGCTGCTGCTGAGGCCATGCAGCTCTGCAACAGGTTAGTGCACTAACTGCTGAAAACATCTATGAAGAACATGATTCCATTCATCAAGGAGACATTTAGTCTGTTAGCCAACACCTGAACCTGCTCATTCAGGTCTTTGGCGTGCAGGATGGTGTGTCCCCCAGGGCTGGGAGTGATAATTAACACTCACCTTTTCCTTTTCAAAGACAAAACAAAAGAAGAATTTTCTACATTGACCCACGCTGCCATCCACAGACTATTGCAGTTGTGCAAACCAGAGCCAAGTAAGGAAGTTCACCAACATATAAAATAAAACAATATACATTTGTCCATCCGTCTTTCTGTCTATCTATCTTTCTATCCATCTGTCTAGCTCTATCTATCTTTCTGTCTATCCTTCTATACGTGTCTGTCTGTCTACCTGTCTGTCATCCATCTATCCATCCATCTATCTGTTTATCTCTATTTTTCTATCCGTCTGTCTCTCTATCTGTCTGCCTGTGTATGACTGTCTGTCTGTATATATAATTATCTCTCTGTCCACCCTTCTATCCATCTGTCTCT